TAAAACGTCCAAACCACACCCGTGGAGACTGTTTCAAGCCATAGAGTGAACGAAGAAGGCGACATACAAGACCAGACTCCCCTTGAGCAACAAAACCAGGAGGTTGCTCCATATATACCTCTTTGTTAACCTCACCATGCAAAAAAGCATTCTTAATGTCAAGCTGATGAAGGAGCCAACCACACATTGCTGCCATCGAAAGAAAAAGACAAACAGAAGACATTTTGGCAACGGGAGGGAAGGTTTCTGTATAATCCTCACCATACACTTGAGTAAAGCCCTTTGCAACAAGTTGAGCTTCAAGTCGATCAATGTGACCATCAGGTCCAAATTTGACTGCATAAACCCATTGGCAAGCTACGAGTGTCTTCCCTCGCGGAAATGGAACCAATTCCCAAGTATTTTTAGCATGCAAAGCAGAAATTTCCTCTATCGTAGCCTGACGCCACCCTGAATGACCCAAAGCCTCATGCCAAGAGCAAGGAACAGTGATAGAGGCTAAAGCAGACACAACACTGCACAAGGAATGAGATAAACGGGGATAACTAAGAAAATTATAAATAGGATTCGGACTACGATTGGACCGTGTACCTCAATGTGGGACGACAGGTGAGTGAGGAGTCCTAACCGAAGAAGGCGATAGAACCGGAGATGAGTCATCAATAAGCGCAACTGATGGTGGGGTAGGTATGTTCTGACGCTGCCATGTATGACGACTATAGACTTGAAGTGGAGGCTTAGAAATGGGGACAACTGGAAGAAGAGTCACAGGTATTAAGGATGGAGATGATGACCTTGTAAAGTATGGTCATGACTCAAAGAACGTGACACCTACACTAAGGTAATATCGACGAGTGAGAGGAGAATAACATCTATATCCTTTTTGAACTCGAGCGTATCCAAGGAAAACACATTTGATAGACCGAAGACATAATTTGTCCAATCCAAGAGAATAGTCATGAACAAACCACGTATAACCAAATACACGGAGAGGTAAAAGGTGCAGGGACATATTATGTTGAAGACATATTATTGGAACCTTATGTGCTAAAATAGAATATGAAAGATAATTCATGAGGAAAAACATGCTGTAAGAAGAATCATCCCAAACATGAAATGGGACATTATAATATATGAGGAGAGTGCAAGCTATTTCTATTAGATGACGGTTCTTGCTCTCAACCACTACATTTTGTTGGGGAGGGAAAAGACAAGATGACTGGTGAATAATTCCTTTAGATGAACAAAATCACTAGATGAGTGAGAAATAATATCTACCATTATCAATTCTTAAAACCTTGATAGATGTATGAAAATTGTGTAAGAATTTCAGCACAAAACATTTTGAATATGGGGTGTAATTCAGATTGATTATTCATTAAATAAACCCAAGTACGGACAGGCTCTACCAACAGCTTGAGGGTAAGCTTTATCACCATTAGCAAGAGTAACATAAGTTAGCGAATTTGATGGATAAAATGTAGAAAGTAGGGAGGGATTACCAGATACATGATCAGTTGCACCTGAATCCAGGACCCATGGACCAAGAGAAGTCTGAGAGACGCCAATGACGGGAGTATAGGTATCAGGTGAGTTGGTAGTCTTGATGGAGGATGACGGGTGAGATGCTTAATACTGAAGAAATGCAACATAATCTGCTCTATGTAAGGTAATACTGTCAGATGAATTTCCAGGCGAATCAGTAGCAACAACATTTGTCGAGCGAGAGGGTTGCCTATGTAATTTGAAGCAACATTCTTGTGTATGGCTCATCTTGTGACAATAACTATGTTGAACTTATTTTAACCAAAAATAGTTAAATTTTTATAGATTTTAAGAGATTTTAACAAAAATTTAAATGATTTTTAAAATGACTTTATGATCTTAACAGAAAAACAAAAATTTAACCAAATAAGGAGAAGAAAAGTAGATTTACAGTTGAAATATCAAATAGAGGTTCAAACAAAACCAATTTCACTAAAAAATAAAAATGGTTTTGAAGAAAACCAACTGAATATGACTTAGATTTAACCAAACTATTTGGATTTGTAGACATTAAGTCTAGGTCAAGTCAAAAACCAACTCGACCGAGGTTACAAAGCACAGATTGAGACTGTAAAGGGCTGATATTGATCCAAAATCAAGCTAAAATAACAAAGCATTGAGATGGCACATAACAAGAATGAACAAACTCATGGGAAAATGTATGTTTATAGTAAATTCCTTTCTTTTTAGTATAGCCTTTAGCTACAAGACGTACTTTATACCTCTCCACATTACCATTTATATCTCATTTGATTATAAAGATCCATTTGCAACCTACGGGTTTTGCACCTTCTGGTAATGTGATAAGCTCCCAAACTTTAATATCTTCCATTGACTTCTATTTATCACGCATTTCATTGACCCATTTATCTGAATTAGGACCTTTCATGGCATGATAAATATTGATTGCATCATCCTTATTGGTGTCATCATTGTCCTCACTTTCTTGAAGAAATATTACATAATCATCCGAAATGAAATTTCTTTGTTCTATAATGGATCTACGCAATTGTGTTGGCTCTTGAATCATATGTTCTTGAGTTTTTTTTTTTTTTTTTTTAATTTGATCCATAGACAAGGTTCATGTTCTATATGAACAGGTTCCTCAAAGGCACTTTAAAAACTCTTTGGGAGCTGGAATGACTGCTAAATATTGAGGTATTTGGTCAACCACACCAGTGAATTCTTGATCCTCAAAAGTAAAATCTGAAACTGTATTTCTCTCCAAAACGCAACATCCCCAAAGAACTTGGCAGTTCCCATCTAAAAAATAAGTCTTGATATGGAATCATACAATATCCCCTTGACCGTTCCAAATAGCCAATAAAATAATTATTCAATTTACGAGGTGCTAGCTTTGGTTCATTTGGATTATTAGCCTTCACCTCAGCTAGGCAACCCTACACCCTAAGATGATTTAAGCTAGGCTTGCACCCAATCTAAATTTCATAGGTTGTTTTGGTAGTCGCCTTAGTTGGCACTCGGTTAAGGATGTAGATTGTTGTCTTTAGTGCTTCTCCCCATAATGATCGTGCAAAGTAGATTGACTAATCATACTTTGGATAATATCCTTTAATGTGTGGTTTCATCGTTCAGAAAAACTTTTAATGTTAGGTGAACCGGGCATGGTGTATTAACGGATAATTTCATACTTCTTAAGGAAGTCAGCAAATGGGCCTGGATGTTGTTCACCCGATCCATCATTTATGCCGTAATATTCTCATTCATGGTCAGATCTGACAGTATTAATGTATTTGTTGAGTTGATTTTCAACTTCAACCTTAAATGCTTCAAACATGTCCAGTGCCTCATATTTTTCCTTAAAAAGGTACACATAACTATATCGAGGATAATCATCTATGAACTATACAAAATATTCTTGACCATTCCATGAAGAAGTGGGAAACGTCCCACAAATATCTGTGTGCATCAATTCCAAGACATCCGTAGCTCAATAAGCATATGTCCTTTTAACCTTAGTTTGTTTACCCTTAATACAATCGACACAAACATCAAAGTCTGAAAAATTTATGGAACCAAGGAGTTCATCCTTAATGAGTCTTTCAACTATGTTTCATGAAATATGAACTAAATGCTTGTGCCAAAATAAACAAGAGTCATGTAATTTTTGCTAAATAACTTTTGATTCCATATCTAGTGTCTCATTTTTGGAAGCTTGAAAGTAATACCCTGGAAGTTGGGCCTATGCTTGGTCATTCGAGGTTGAATATAGGTTAAATGGATTAAATACATTACTCATGTCAACAATGTGCAAATCTCATTTCGGGAGCCTTGCTGTAAACGTCCTTACCCTAGAGTAATTTGAGGATGGGTGACCCCGTGGGAAGTCTCCTAGGGTGCGCGTGAATGAGGACAGAGATTCTGACATGTTCCGCTTCGTGTGGGTTGCGGGCCGGGGTGTCACATAGAATGTCATGCATATATAAATTGCCATTCACCATATATAGAATGTCAACCATATATAAACATGAATTTAAAGAAGCAGCATTAGACATGTTCATGATGTACTCCCTTATACTGCCTTTGTCGTTATACCTCATGGTAATGGACTCTTGAGAATAGTACCCATTTTTGCCTTATCATTTTTGGTAAAATATTTCTGAATTTCGACGAGGAACTCATTGACAGTTGTGATATCATCAGATATCGTGCCCCGATAGATTTCTAGAATATTTTTCTTAATGATCATCAAACTTAGGCAATTGGACCTATATCACTTCTCAAACAACTACTAAACTGCAGTGTTTTCTATCGTAGAAGAAATGAGTTGGTCTATCCTTAAATGCCAAGTCAAGATCCATACAACCCAAGTGAATTAATACTGATCTTTTCATGTGCTGAAAATTGTCCCCAAACAGTATTGGAATCAGATAGTTGGTAGATAGCATAAGATTTGGTCCGAAAGTAAATAGTGAATAAATATTTACATAAGTACTCATGTTGCATAAGGAAATTCAAAAGAAATAATGCAATCCCATCTCAAGACACTAAACACAACATTAATGATTAGTCTTTGGAATTGTTGGCAGTCATCTTGTTGCAAGAATTATGTACGGAAAATAAGTAATCTCAAATAATAAACCACTCTTTGGACTGATTCAATATTCACATAAGTTAAATCCATATAATCGTCCCACACATATTATCATGGATGTATATTTTATTATATCAATTATTAACAGCCTTTGGCCCGAAAAATATTACATGAATTATACATAAAAAATACTTACGTTATCAACAAAAAAATTCATTTAAGAGAAGTTACTTTTGAGACTTCAAATACTTGATTTTCACCATAATAGTAGACAAAATTTTCACAAGAAAAAAATATCGATTCCAATTGAAAAAAATTAATCCAAGAAGGAATCCAATCATTCAAAATGTTCTAATAGCAATTGTTGAATTAAATGTCCAATCCTCAATCGGAAGCGTACCTGAAGATTAAACCATATGCAAATCTTGGGTGATAAATGCGATCAGTCTTCCAAGATCAGAGCGTAAGCATTTTTTCTATCATTGACGCAGGTGATAAGTAGAAACTGTAGGGCAAATGAGATCTCTATACCGCACTCTATCCCGGGGACCTAACCCTAGTGTATATAAGGCAAGCATAATTGTAATAATTATTATATCCTTAATTAATATTATTATTTGTCACGTCATAAAAATAATATATTATGCAAAATTGTCTATACTTCCCCCGTAATTTCGAAACTCAGTGTAAATCTCTCACGTACTTTAAAAATTCCATGACATTCCCTTTTATTTTTAAAAATATTGCATGAAACCCCTTTTTACAATTTTTGTGATGAGAAGATAGTTTCCTATATATATTTTTTGCATGGCGAGAGGGTTTCATACAATATATTTTAAAGTATAAGGGGGCACCAAGTACTTTTTAAAATAATTTTTCTTTATTTTAAGATTTACACTGAGTTTCAAAACAACATGGGAGTTACGGACAATTTTTCTATATTATTAAATTTGGGTAGCTATAATTTCATTCCACAATAATCAAGCCTATTAGTCAATAATTAATTGTGTTAATTAGATCATCTAAATAATATGACTGAATAAAATAATACCTTTAACAAAATGTTTGATACACATATTCAATCCCAATCCAACATGAATTGATTTCATCATTTACTGATTCTCCTAAAAATAAGATTCTTGTAGCAAGAACGCTTTAATCATTTTATTCAATTCATCATCCAATATATAGATGATGAAATTAAGAGTAAAGGTTTAACACTTTTATCCTTTGACTATGCCTTAGTTATTTTTTATGAAGCGTCAAAACCAACAATCTCTTCTTACATTATTTTTTTAGAACATTCAGAAATATCACCATTGTACTTACCAGTCCGGAGATGAAGGTGTCTGCAGCCGTGGTGGCCATGGAAGAAGCTGCATTGTACCAGTCAACCTAGTTACGCTTTCGCAAACCGAGGCTGACATGGGAAAATTTTTTGCAAGCGTTGGTGGAAAGATTTGATACGCATTTCAAGGGCAGTACTTTTGAACGATTGGCAAATATTAAACAAGAAGAATCAGTGGATGACTACGTAATGTTATTTGTTCAATTGGCTAGACAAGTTCCGGGTTTGACAGATGCGCACTATCTGGGCTATTTTATGAAAGGTCTAAAGGACTCGATTCGAAGTTCGCTCCTCCTTCTTTGGCCCAGAGACTTAGAGACGGCCATGGAATTGTCTAGAGACATTAAGGATAATCTTCAAGTACAACTTGACAGTCACCCGTACCAAAATTTGAACAGTCCGACACCGCACGCAAGCTCTATGTCCTGACCAAACAACATGATTAGGGCTTCAACAATAGGGGCCAACCACAATGGATCTATTAACAACCTTGTCGATCATCCTTCCGTGGCCCGATTGGAGGCAACTAGTCAGTCAGTAGTCCAAAATCGATTTACCCGTCTCTCACCCCAAGAATTTTCTGAATTGCGAGCCAAAGGACTTTGTTTTTGCTGCAAGAAACCATACACCTCAAAACATGAATTCCCTCTCAAACAATTGCGAGACATGATAGCTGAAGAAGACGAAGAGGTCTTAGATCTTCAACAGTTTGAATATTATGTACTGATGGGAGATGAAGATTGGATGGGAGAGCGAGGAGATCCATCGATAGAAGAGGGGACCTTTGCGTTTTCCTGTGCAGGGGGCTTTATGAGCCAATGGACTATGTGGTTGCATGGAATTGTACAAAAAAGGAATGTAACAATATTAATTGATTGTGGTGCTAGTCACAATCTTATATCTTCTTTCTTAATCTCTACTCTACGATTACCAACCGATCATAGAGAAAAATTTGGAGTTCGATTAGGTGATGGACGAAGATGGGAATCCGAAGGATTATGCCGGGATGTTATGGTCTCATTACAGTGTTGTGAGGTAACAACCAATTGTTTTATGTTTCCCTTCTAGGGTATTGAATTATTCTTCGTATAGCTTGGTTAGCCACATTGGGCGATGTTCAAACAAATTGGGAGGCTCTTACTTTGTCCTTTGAATGGAAAGACAACAAGTAGTACTGATAGGTTACCAAAGCCTAACCCAAAAGACGTGGGATCGAGTCCGTGAGGGAGAAAAACAAGAGGAAGATCAAAGCTTATTCCAGTTCTCATACTTCGACCTTGGGAACAAGGTCGATTTGATGATTGTTGAAATTGATAGGAAACAAAATCGGAAAGAGCATGAAGTTATGATTAAAAAGAAAATGTAGTCTTGACGACAGGGATGGGCTTAGGTCTGTTGTTCATGGGTTTAGATTTTATTTACTTGTTTTCTATTAATATATTATATTTTGAGTTGGCTTGTCTTTTAGTTATTGGGTTGACTTATTTTGTATTTAGTAAGTAGGGTTTAGGTAATAGTATTTAAAGAGGAACTACGGTTTGAGACTATCATTTTTAAACTTTTGAAATAAAGTAGCCGTCAGGCTTTGGGCAAACGGTTGGTACCGTTTGATTGTTCTTGGGAAAATGATTTATACCGTTTGATTTTTCTTATCCTTTATTTTATTTCTATCAGCCCATCCCATCGTCAATACACAAGCATCGGCCGAGGCACCGCTTTCTCTTTAATGTTAACTTCATACACTGTTTCAACTTTGCATTCTATCGTCCAGCCATTCTAACTCTAATATGGACATAAACAATAGATCACGAAGCAATATATCTAAAACAATAAGATTTTGAAATAGAAAATTACTAAGTACTTAAAGAACTCATGAGCTCACTTACTTTGGAAGTAATCACCAAGGCATGAGACAAGTATGGATTCTCTAGCCTCAAGTCTCGTCAGGATCTGAAATGAACACCCAAACCTTAGACTCTCCCACAGTTGGCTCACTGGATTCGGATGAAAGGCTCAAAAGAAGATCAAATCTGAATGGACACATATATATATATATATCTTAGTGAGTAAACAATCAAAGATCAAAACAAGACCAACTGTGCAAAACAAAACCATACAATACAGATGATCATCTATTCAGAATGTTATTTACGTTTAGCAGATGCAAGAAATGAAACCAAGAATTCAATCAAATTAATTATGCAATCAACACATCTTTGTTGTGTCAAAACAGAGATGAAAATCTACAAATTCGATGGAGTGTCTAAGTTTGAATAAAACCTAATTTGATCTATATTCCCAAACCTCATACATCATTCTACCTAAATCTAAACCACCAAAATCAAACAAAATCTATTTAACCAAATCCTAAAATAGATCAATGATCGATCTATTTACCCAAATTAGTTCCAACACATAGACGAAATGGAAAAAAAAAAAACAATGGAAAAAACACATAAATGCAACAATACAAATTTAGGAACAAAACTTACACCGATGAAGAGGAAATTTCTAAGAGTGGCGCCTCATAGCTGAAGCATGGCGGCGGATGTTGGTCGGGGACTAAGTATGCGATGGGTCATATTCGGGAGAAGATCGGTGATTGGCAGAGCAACAACGGAAGTGCAGCCACGGTGGTGAGGACTAAGTGGTGGAGGCCTCGGGTCTCCGGTGGCTAGACATGAAGAGGAGGGAGAAGCGAAATCGGCGACAGAGAAGATGTAGAGTTGGAGTTGAGAGGGTATTAGGATTAAATTGGGGAAAATATTTTCTATTTTTGATAGAATACAAATCGTTGCATAAAAAATTGCAAAAATTGCAACGCATTTACTTTATTCGTCGTATAAAATTTTAAAAAAATTTGGTATAAATATATATTTTGCAACTGCATACATTTTTTTTCCAAGAACGATCGCCAAATTATGTCAATTTGTATTGCAATAGAATAAATTCTCTAAAATATTTTTTCATTAAATTGATTATTTTGTGACCGAACATATTCTTTTGTAAATTATGTTGTTTTTGTCGTAAAAAAAATCGCTACCGACTGCTTAATCGGAAAAGCCTGTCGGAATTAATTTGTTTGAAGGGTTCCCGGCCATAACAAGAAAGGGTCTGAGCTATCTCGTGATATCTGCACTCTTGAATTGTTCCAGGAACTGCTCGACTGACTCCTTGCTTCGCTGATCGCCATACATCCTATGAATCGCATCTTCGATTACCCGTGGGTTTATGATGGGATATGGCAGCGGCCCCATCTCTGCCTGCCTCCCAGGTTGTTTGGAAGCTGCCTGAAGAGATGGCAGATTGTGTAATGCCGTCTGCGGGAAGGCTTGATGAGTAGGTTCCCAATGTGGGAAATGAACCCGGGAGCCTTCCGTAGGTTCTCTAAGAACTGGAACCTATTGCAATGGTGTATTTTCGGGGGATGGTTGGACAGAATATTTGTCGGTTTGTTGCAGCCCAAACCAGCAACAAATTGACCTTCCCAAGCAGCTCACTACCCCCCAGTGTATCGGGATAGTGTTGGGACTGGTCCCCAAGTCATTCCAGAAAGCTTTGGAACTAAGGAACGTACTGGTATCGCTGTCGGCCCTGCCCCCCATGCATTATAAGTCTTTTGTCTGGCCATTGGGTTTCTTCGAAGGCTTAGAGTGGGGACTAGGGTGCTGAAAGTATTTCCAGCAACTAGGGGATTATTTTGTCCTTGTGGTACTGATGAGACTGACCCCAAGGACATCCCAAATTCGTCGGTTGAAGGCGGCCCAAAGGAAGCCTGCCCGGCCGATGTCTGAGATTCTCCGACCTTCTAGATGGTGAAACCTCCAGATCTGGCACTCCTACCGAATAGAGTAATATGACCATACTTAAGTGTCTGGGAGGTCGGATCTGCTGAGAAGCTGGTAGTAAGGCCCGCGGGAGGCCAAATCTCTGGCTGGCTGGAATCGACCTTCCGGATCTTGCTTTTTCGAGTTTCTTCCTCTAGAAGCAATACAAACACGTTCCGAATGGCAGGTTTCAGAACATCACTAACGTGTTTCGATAGTTTTTGGGTGGATCCGTGAAGGAACGACCTAATTTCCCCATGGAGATGCTCATGAAGGACAATGGCTGAAAGGCTAATGTTCTGGTCCGGCCTTCCAGCAACAGCGGAAGCCTCATCATGCAGGCAGCTTCCTGCGCAGGGTACGATGACGAATCACCGACGATTTCTTTGTTTTTTGACATCTCCAGAGTCGTCGGCGGTATAATTTTTCGCTCGAAGTTGCATGTAAAAGTCGCGAGACGTCGGTGTCCCACTGAGCGTGCCAATTCTATTTTCGTCAAAAAAATAGCTACCGATGGCTTAATCGGAAAAGCCTGTCAGAATTGATTTTTTAGAAAGGTTCCCCGACCTCCTCAAGAAAGGATTCAGGATATCTCGTGATATCCGAATAATTAATGTAAAAAGAAGGCAAAAAAGGTAGTAATGCGAGAAAAAACTGGAAATTTAAATTGGAATCAATGGAAGAAAGCTGTAAAAAATTTGGAAAAAGAAAAGATACAACGCAGAAAATTGCAGAGAAAAATAGTGAAGAAAGAAGATGATGATTCATGTTGAATGGCGTTTGTCCTTGTTCTGCTTCTTGATCTTCTATAAGTCTTGTTGTTATTTTTTGAATTCCTTTGGATAAAATCTTATCCCTAATTTTCCTCCAACAAACTCCAACAACTTTCACTTCCACCATCTTTCATCCGTTGACTGCTCCAAATGCACCAGGCCGGCTGGGTCCTTGTGCTAGTCGTGTCCGCAGGCCCATTCGCTGATCTTGACCTTTTGCTGGGCCGCAAACCTCGTGGGTTTGGTCTTTACTTGTACTGGGCCAGTCCAATTAATTTTGGGTGTGTACAAATGCCCTCCACAAAATCATCTGGACAAGAATCAACTCGTGGTTCTGATAATTTTGTCAAATACCTGAGTGTTTCCATGCTTTCTCGGCCTTTCTGACCATCTTTTCTACTTTTGGAAGGTCATAGTTAACTATAGCTTGATTGTGCCTTCTTTCCGGCTCCCAAAGAGAAAGGTAGAACCTTTTAAGATGTCTTCCATTGATAAACATCTTCAGCTCCTCCCTTCGGGCTCCATCAATCTATAACCGCCGTTAAGTGACTTGGCTGATATGATAAAAGGCCCTTCCCATGTGGGGGACCACTTCCCAAGCTTCACATCTTTAGGGCCTTCCGGGAGGATGGCCTACCATACCATGTCTTCTTCTTGAAAGGTATGGGGCCTTACATGCTTCCGAAAGGTTGATTAAACCTTTCTTTTCTGATGTCGAATGCATTCAAGACTCTGAAACCTCTCTTCGGATAGGGCATCGAGCTCTTATAGCTGGTCTAATCATGCTCTTCCATCAACAATCCATTCACCTTCAAACTTAGGAGTGAAGCTATCGTAATCTCCAACGAAAGTACGGTGTCATGGTCGTAAGTCAGCCTGTAAAAGGTACTGCCGGTTACAGAGGATTTGGCGTTCCGATATGCCCATAAAGCCTCCTCTAAAGTGTCGTGTCAATCCCTCAGATTGTCCTTCAACGCCTTCTTGATGATAGAAATCAAAACTTTGTTCGTCACCTTGGCTTGCCCGTTAGGCTGAGGATAATAAGGAGATGAATTGAACAATTGGATCCTGTATTGAGCTGTAAATGCTTTGACCTCCGCACTCGTAAATGTTCTTCCTTGATCAGTGGTTATCGTCTTTGGAATTCCAAACTTGTGAATGATGTTATTGTTAATAAAACGTATTTACATGATTATATTGTACCTTGGCCAATGGAACTGCTTATGTCCACTTCGTGAAGTAGTCCGCAGCTACGAGAATGAATGAGTGCTCTTTGAAAGATGGAGGATGGATTTTTCCGATGATTTCCATCGCCCATCCACGGAAAGGCCAAGGTTTGATAATCGAATGAAGTTCTTCTAATGGGACTCATCGAAGTGGTCCATGGCGCTAGCATGCTGGACATCCTAGAGCATGATCCATGCAATCCTGCGAGATTCGTGGCCAAAAATAGCCGTAACGAAGGATTGTCCACTATATAGCGGGTCCAGCCCTGTGGGCACCTCCAACACCTTCTTCGACCTCGGCCATAACCTTCATAGCATCTTCGCAACCCAGATAGCATGCTAAAGTCCCATCGGTTCTCCGTCGGTATAATTCTCCATTGATTTGAGTGTTTTTTAGAAGCTGATGGTGCACTGCTTTTGAAGCAAACTTCCCGGGGCCTGTTACAACCTTCCAGCAACGGGGTTTGCCAATCTAGGTCCTGGTCAGCCTGCAAACATTCATATTTTGGTTGTATTTCTTTTCTTTTAAACCTAGAAGCCCATTGTGCGAAGTCGTTTGCCCAAATGTCCTCCAACGTTACCTCCACGAGTTGCTAAGTAGGTCATGGGTTTCTCGAAGAAGGTCTATAACTCGTGGTTCCTTGCACTTGAATTATATGATGGTCTGTTGGATAACCAGCTGAGAGTTCCCTCGAATAACGACCTTCTTGATATCCTTTACGACCAAGACTCGCAATGCCAATAGCAACGCCTTATATTCGGCTTGGTTATTCGTGATACCTTGCGAAATTTGGTGGGTCAAATGCCATAATTCTCCTTTACGATTGGAGATCAGCATGCCTGCTCCAACTGCTCCTAAGGAGCTGGAATCATCAAAAGTTACCAGCCAAGGTTCCAGCCCACGTAGTCCAAATGAACGGCCTGAACCATTCCAGGATATTTGGCCAAGAAATCTATGATAGCCTATCCTTTCATGGCCTTAAGGGGCTGATATGTCAAAGTAAGCAGTACCGAAGAGGTGAGGATTGCATAAGACGGTCTTCCTAAAGAGAATGATGACAACTTTAATGCCCATTTAACTAAACGGCATCGGGGGACTGGCCTGTTTAATAAATAGCGTAGGAAGTCGACTTTGCATATGACTTTAGTTTCAATCGGCATCAAATAATACTATAATTTTGTGCATGCGTTATATAAAGATAAACAAATTTTTCAATGCACAAATAGAGAATTTAAACATCAAATGTCCTACTAAGATAATAAATAGTGCATTCCTGACCTTCATTATCATCCTGTGCAATGAGGCAACCCATCGTGTCGTCTGTCGAGGCTACGTACAGCTTCAGCTCCCTTCCACTGATTGGTGGCATTAACACCGGAGGAGATGCTAACGCTTGCTTAATCTTGTCCAGGACTTTTTGCTGGGCTGCTCCCCGCTCGAACACGTCTTTATTCGCATACAACAGCACCGAGAAGGACTTTATTCTCTTAGTCGCATTGATGATGAATTTTCTCAAGAAATTGACCTTCCCTATCAAGCTTTGCAGCTCCTTAATGTTGCATGGGGGCCCAAGGTCTTGGACAGCCCTGGCCATATTTTTGTCAACTTCGATCTACTTTTGATGGACCAAAAAACCTAAGAAATGCTCTGCTTGTACTCTGAAAGCGCACTTTGCCGGGTTCATCTTGAGGTCGTGTTGTCTCATCCGCATAAAGGCCTTCCGAAGGTCCAATAGGTGGTGAGGAATGCTCGGGACTTCACAACCACGTCATCTATGTATACCTCCATGCAAGCACCAATTAGGTCGTGGAAAATTGCATTCATCACCCTCTGGTAGGTCGCTCTGGCATTCTTGGGGCTGAAAGGCATTACTATCCACTTGAAGATTCCAACCGAGGCAGCGG